GTCGGAGATTGACGGGACCTTGATGCGCATCTCTGAGAAACGCCGGACGTACTCGCGTAGTGGCTCATCTTTTCGATCTCGAATCCGCTACAGATCATATTTGTTGCCGGGTTGCTCGCAAGTGGCAATGAAGTTGTCGATGAAAGCTTGCTTGAGTTCTTGCCAGGAGTCAAAGTAGTTTGTCGGCAAGCTGACCAGCCATTGGTGACCTGTATGACCCACAGCGACTGGGAAGTAGTTAGACATGACGTGCTCATCAGCCATGGCTGATCTGCATGCGGTTTCGTAGAGCATGACCCATAATTTGGGGTTCTCCTTGCCATCATACTTCTGAAGTTTTTCGAGCTTGAAGTTCTTGGGCCATATGACTTGGCGAAGGTGCGGAGTAAAGTGCTTCAAACCCAGCGGGCCGTGGACAGTATCATATTCCATACGGCGATAGCTTTCATGGGATGCACGATCGTTGGCTCTCTGGTCGATGCGATCGCGCAGATCACGTCCTCCGAGGTAATGGCGAAGATCGTTATTGCCATCACGGCGATCTTGGTTGCCATCCAGATTAGTCCTGCGACCATGGTTTTTGCGGTGATTATTGCGGTTGTCTCGGCGGTTGTCGCCCCGAACGTCGCGGCGGTCGTCCTCCCGACGGCGGTTGTCATCCCGACCACCGTCATGGCCACCGTTTCCGCCTTGACAGTTGTCTGATGGGTCATTGTTGCGCGAGCCACGTTGGTTGGGTGGCTGTGAGCGACTTGAGTATTGGCGGCTGTGGCTTGACTCGACTGAGACAGATGGAGCCCGGGCTTGATTTACGATCTCTGCGGTCTAGGCCATAGCAGCCGTCAGGTAAGCTTGTATATCGTCGCAAATTGCCTGGGTTTCCGGGGTATTGGGTAGCCGTTGCATTGTTGCCATAGCAACGGCCACGTTGGCGCTTGGAGTCCTGAAGACCTATTTATCCCCCACCCTGTCGAAGGCATTGCTGAGGTCACGTGGCTGGACCCTTATGCGCCGTGCTTCTTCCGCCTCGGCTTCAATTTGTCGGCGATTAAACCGATCAATATTGTGTGCTTCACGTGCCAGCCTTTCTTGCTCTGTCTCGCCGACTATCGGTGGTTCATCATTACTAACAATGTTGATCAAGCCTCCCCGCCTTGGTGGGAAGGACGGGAATCGCGGGTATCTCGGAGCGTGGTCTGGGATATCCAAATCGTATTCGACGCCTTCATCATTGTGATTCTGGAGCTCGGTGCGAACAAAGGCATTGGATGCGGTGCCAGACGAGGAGCTCGAGCCACCCTCTTGAACTGTGTGGACCGATCCTTCTTGACAATCCTCAATCCAGACCATGTTGACGAAGTTGAGTGGCTTTGGCCGAGGTTGGTGTATAGAACGCAGACCCGAGCAGCGTTGTATATTGTAAGCGTAGTTGGAGGCAGCGTTCCGCAGGCCGTAGGGCTGGGCCTGGTAGTTCTCCATCGAGGCTTCGTATTCGGAGATCCGGAGACCCATCGCAGGTGCTGGCCGGCGACGAACGGAGCGCCCTTCAAGAGTAGATGTGACCACGAGATCTGTACCGAGTTGTGCAGGACGACTAGCCCGAGCTGGTCGGGTAGATCTGTTGTGGGTAGCGGTTACCTACTCATTAGGTTGACTTTGAATTGAACTTACCAAAGCTAGGGTTTCGGTAAGTTTGGTGCCTACCAGATCGATGGAGTCGAGCAGGTCGGCGTTGTCGATCTGCTTCCCTTTGTAGCGAGGAAGCGGACGACGGGTTGTCGGTGTGGCTGAAGGCGATGCGGGCGTGGTCGGAGCCAGATCCACCATGGTCGGAGCTAGATCCACCGTGGTCGGAGCCAGATCCCCCGTGGTCGGAGCCAGATCCACCGTGGTCGGAGCCGTATCCATCGTGGTCGGAGCCAGATCCCCCGTGGTCGGAGCCGTATCCACCGTGGTCAGAGCCGTAGCCGATGCAGGTGAAGCAGCGGTCGACACAGACTAAATCCGCGCCTCCTCCGTGATCATGGCGATGAAGTCGTCGGAGCCGGTGGTCTAGGTGATCTGACCGACGGTGAACGTGAGGCCGTTCAATGTAGCCATGGAGTCGGGGATGATGACCATCTTGTTCGCTTGGAGAGCAGTACGCACACCCCCTACCTGACGCACCACTGTCGATGAAATATAGTCGGCAGTCTACCTAGGGGTATGCCCAAGGTAGTAGATTGTCGGCAGACAGATGCGCAAGTCATAAACAAGATGGCGACGTAGATCAGACACGAGGTTTTATCCAGGTTCGGCCGCCAAGAAGGCGTAATACCTACGTCCTGCGTCTGATTGTATTGTTGTATGTCAATGAGAGATGTTTTTTAGAGGGATCCCCTGCCCGCCTTATATAGTCCGGGGGATAGGGCTACAGATCTGGAAACTAATCTTAGCCAGTTACAATTGCCATAGGTGGCTGGATAAGGATTCCTATTCTAACCGACCAGGATCTTGCTTGATCGCCAAATCTGTCTTGACTCCTTGCGCGGAACTCCGAACAGGCTGGCCGGGCCACGCGTCGTCTTTTAGCGGACCGGACCCTCTGATCCGGGCCGGCCCAAGCCTAGCCGTAAGGGTATAGGGGTTAATACCCCCACAGAGACCAACCCATTTCACTCATGTCGAGGGGTCCAGGTCCCCGTCCAAACTTGGACTCTAAGCCCCCACACTTGAGACCCGATCTCAATGTGGTGCTTAGACCTCCACCTTTCCCCGCCTCTAGTCAGTCGGTCCGGAAAGAGCCATGAGCCTTCTCGCTCCCATAAGCAAGTATGTGCTTAGGATAATAAGTCTGTGACCTGACTACCATCCACAGCAATGGATGGTCCTCAATTGACATGAACAAGGAAAACGGTGTAACCAAGCTAAGCCCCATGGCCGTGGGACACACTTCTTATACCCACCAATAACCCATGTCATATCCCTGCCCGATCTTCATTTTCTTTTCATCATTTTATTATGAGGTAAATAATAATCACCTATTGTGAGTAATGGCAGGTTACTCATGCTACCGACAACCTAAGCATAGTTGCTACTCGAACCTGCACTAGTAGGACTCATGGGGTAGATATATATATGCATGTGGTTTCCATAAAATACCTGCAACGTAAATGCACAACTCATATATATACGGTGGAGATGCAAAATAGTGGTTATGCACCGGGGCTTGCCTTGGTCAGGCGCGGTGTCAGCTGAGTTAGTCAGTGGCAGCTCTGAGACTTCCTCCGACAGGAGAATCTCCTATCGTACTCCTCAACGATCTCTTCAAACTCGTGCTTGCCGGTGGTCACAATCTCCGCCAACTCGTTTTCTATATGCATGCGATGATAATGATGCAACAACTTAGTATTTAGGCAACAGCAACTCTTAAAATAAGAATGCACATGTTAAGCTACTAAGCTAGCTCTAATGATTAAGATATTAAGCTAACTATCGTCTTCGTCAAGCAAAGTGTTGCGTTCAACTAACAAGCACCTAGTTTTGCAAAACAATGGTATGCCTTTATTTCTATTTAAGATTTAATGTATATTTAAACGAAGAACATTTAACTACCCTAATGTTTAGTCTAGTCTAAGGAAACAAAAATTACAATGAGCACATAATAATACAATGAAGCTACTGTAAAAATTTTAGGATTAAACCTATCACCAATTTACCACAATAATTATCCTAGTAATATTAAGCACTTTAAAATGATTTAATAGCCCTTAGTACCAATGCAGATATGTATGAACTAACTATACCAACAGGTAGACAATAATCTTAGGAACCTATCAAAATTAGTTTTCACATTTTTTGGACACCTATATGAATTTCACAAGATTAATTCCTAAACATGGTGCTATCAAACTGTCTTTAGACTTGAGGAATTTTCTAAGTCTTGAGTTGGATTCAATTTCAAGTTCCATTTCTAAGCTATTAGAAATACTAACTAGCAATGTTATTTTTCTACAGCAAGAGTTGCATTGTCATCTACAAAGTTTGTACTTCAAACTTTATTTAGGTGTTACACACATGTTCTATAATATTTTTGCTCAATAAAATTTGGTTTTCAACCCTACTTGACATAACCTGAGCTATTAAATCAATTTTCATTTAACATTTTAATTATTCATTTTAGGTTACAAGAAATTTATCTACACACTCTATCACATGCATTATCACATAAACATGATGCTCATGACATGATGTAGTAGTTTGTTAGGGCATAACACCGTGGGTGTTACATGGCGGCACCATCATAGTGGACATTATTGCATATCCTCCAGTCATAGCTGCAGTAACCACTCCGTTGAAGCTGTGCTCACTAGAATTTTCACTTTCTTCATCACTTCTCTCCATGGTCCAGGCAGCCTGCATTGTATAACACACATCATGCACAACAGTGAGTTGTACACTAAGAAAAGTAATACACAAATTAAGAATCATGTTTTTGCAAAAACACACTTCAGAAATTTTAAGAAACATGTTTTAACACATCATGTAGGTATGTAGCTCAACCAAGGGCACCAATTAAGAAACTTGTACCCACTTTTTGGTACTTACTAACCCCTTTCCTAGTTGATGAGTACTGTAGCACGATGGTGCGTGGGCTCCTGTTGTGCACACCTCACGGACACCTGCAAAATGAGTAGTTAGCCTATGCAGCAAAAGATGGTACCTAACTTTGCACATGAATATTAAGAAACTTGTTTTACGAAAAACACACATATGACAAATTAAGAAACATGCCAGCACACAGGTTATTTGGAGTTCAGGAAACTAAACACGACACATGGTTCTAGGCACGAGCCACATTACATCGATGCAAATTATACAAACACACATGAGTTGGAAAAACTAGGGGACAAGAAATGAGCTATAATGATACAAGACAACACTCAAATGTCATCAGTGGTCTCAAGCCCACTCAACATCTAAATGCCTCACGCACAGCTTGTTAAGGACATCCACGTTGGCTACTTGTTGTTCCTGTTCAAGTGCCACGTAAGCCAAGCAAGATGCTCTTCTGTGTTTAACAAATTCTTGAACTCCCTACGCGACACAGAGTTCTTGAACAGCTCCAACGCTTCAAAGAACATGTCTGAAATATAGGGCACAACGTCTTCTCGTAGGATTTGCATTGCTTCGTCCACCTCCGCCTGCTCACGGGTACGTTCTTGATCACGAGATGTACTCCTCGCAGCAATGCTTTCCGATAAACATGCCATGTACTCACCCACATTGCTAGACTTCTTCTCTGGGATGTTAATAACATTGTCCCTGTTATCCCTTTTGAAACCGAAGTGGTAACTAGAGGGTCCAAAGTGAGCAGGTGTTGCGGCACCTATACCACCAGCGGACCTGAAACAACCCATGTTCTGATTCAGGTCAACGTACAGTGCTTCAAGTTCATTCAGGAAGGGGGTGGTATGCCACATTTTCCACCAGCAGCACTTGTTTCCTGCAACGAACACATTGCAAACTTTTTGTCAGAAGGATGGTAGCAGGCACTACTAGGGCAAATACTTGACAACATATGGCAATAGATAGTCAACTTATTGCGCACTCGATAGTGTCATCGCTATCAGGCTGGGTACCATACTGGGTCTCCCAGTACCCAGACTCAGCGGCAATGCCCCTCGTTTGTGTGTCACGACCGAGTCCAGTGGCTGATAGCTCCTTCTTCCACTTTAGGTATTTGGATCTGAGGGTCCATACTTTGTTGTTGACCTATCTCTGATCATATTGGGAAAAGTGGGTGTAAATGTTGTTCTAGCCGTCCCTACTTACACCATCCTTAGACGTGAAATTGAGCTTTTCCTTTTCTAGAAGGCACATGTCCAGCAAAAGCTTGGTTTCAGCGTTGATCCACTTTGCGCGTTGGCTTGCACGTTGGCGTGGCTCTGTGTGCACGTTCAATGGCTAATTTTGTTGTGTGTTCAAAAACATATCACAACACACATAGCAAAGGCCAGTACTACACCTACGACACGATGGAATATGCATCACAGTAAACTTGCCTTGCTTGTTCGCTTCGCACGTTTGGCATGCAACTTGTGCCTAGCAGCTTTCGGCGATGAGCAGGAAGCTGTTGATGACAGTGCCAGTATAGCAGCTTCTGGTGGTCCCTAGAGTTGTGTGGACAGAAGAACAGAACAAAGGAAAATGTTAGAGTTCAATATTTGAGAACATTCTGGGTCTAAAAGAGCGTACCAGATCGACCGAGAAGGAAGCTGAAGACGCACCGCAGTGAGGCAGATCTATGGAGGCCGAAGGCGATGACGATGAGCTACTGGCGGAGAGGGGGCGAGAGTGGCTCACGGCGGGGGTGTGGAGAATGGAGGGGGCAGGCTTGGCTCATGGCAGGGGTCTAGGCATGGGAGGAGGGCGGGCGTAGCTGATGGCAGAGGGGGTGGGGTGTCAGGAGGGGAGGGGGGCGGCATGCCTAATGACGGCGGTTTGTGTTGGGTGTGCGTCACTAATGGCGGAGCAGGCCGGCTGGCCACACTAGTGACGGCGGTGATGTGGGGCGGGGGTGCGTGTAGAACTCGGCGCATTAGGGTGGCTGGCGGTGACCCCAAACCCTAGGCGTGGCATGATGGAGGTACGAATGAGGTAGGGGGGGCCTCAGAAGTGACGAAATGCCTCTTTTAGGTTTAGCCTCGGCGTTGAGTCGGGCCACGCTGAGGTTTGGGTCCAGTGGAGTGGCATTAGTTGGCAGACCTCGGCGTTGAGTCGGGCCACGCCGAGGTTTGGGCCCAGCACAGCGAGCTTTGCACGCCCAGGCATTGAGTCAGGCCACGCCGATATACATGGGCCTCGGGGTTAGCTCAGCCCCCACCGAGGTTTCCAGACCCAGACTCGGCGTTGAGTCGGGTGGCGCTTAGGTATGGGCCTTGGCGTCATTTGACTTAGCACCAAGGTCGGCCATGTCGGCGCCGTGAGCACACCATAATCAGTAAGGAACTGGCTCTGGGCCTCCACCTCGGCATGGAGTCGAGCGGTGCTTAGGTATGGGCCTCGGCGTTATTTGACTTTGAGCCGAGGTCGGCTATGTCGGCGCCGCGAGCACCCCGTAATCAGTAAGGAACTGGCTCTGGGCCTCCACCTCAGCGTTGAGTCAGGCGGCGCTTAGGTATGAGCCTCAACGTTGTTTGACTTAGCACCGAGGTCGGCCATGTCGACATCACGAGCACACCTTAATCAGTAAGGAACTGGCTCTAGGCCTCCACCTCGGTGTTAAGTTGTTGCACGCCATGATAACTCTGCTCCGCGTTCCTGGGTTTCACCCCGACCAAGCAGGTGCCGCGACCAAGCAGACACCTACATACTATGCTGGCTGCTAATGTACCGCACGCCGACCTTGGATTCAGTACAAAATAACATGTTTCCAAAGTAGTTGTCATCCTGACTAGTCTCAGCACATATTTTATAAACAGTTCAGCATTTGACCATACCATCTTTGTAACACATGCTCAATATACAACATTTTAACATAGGTAAGACAAGCTCCACTTGGAAGATCCATACATAACAGTTCGGACATAGAACAGATGGTCCACACAAATTGCCAACAAACATAACAGGTCCAACATAGATGCCATGGCCCAAACAAGTAGCCAACGTAATTCATACAATATAGTTTCCAACACAAACACAGAAGTTGACATTGAAAAGGAACGACATGGCCCACTTCTATTGAACCCTTCAACAATTGTCATGTACCTCCATAAGATGGTGTACGCCTGTCGAAAACATGGTGACCATTTAGTATGTTTTGCATGAAAACCACAAAACATCCAAAGGAACTTTCATGATTTTGAAAAGGAAGTACTCTACCTTAACGTGGACGCTGAGTCCTACGCTTGCCTCTGCCTAGTGCATACGTGAAGCGCCCCTGGTTATCTAGGAACTCAAATGTGATACAAATACTAGTCCCAGGAGGCTAGTAACACATTTATTACTTCAGATAAGTCTCAGTGCAGTAGTCTCGACAAGCGTGGACAATGAAGACATGCCATGATTAGAAGTAACCAGAACATAATATAGGTCCAACAGACCCAGAAATAAAAGGAATCGCAGTCAAACATCTAACGGGTCCCAATGCCACGGGCTTAGTTGGGTGTAGACACGACCTTACTCGAATGCAGCTTCGGGATTGAAGTCTGTATCTTCCTCTGTTCAACAAAGCAAGGGTGAGTACAAAATACTCAACAAGTCCAACCTTACCCTACGAAAGGGGATAACAGTACATGCATATGGATATATCAAGGATAAGGCTTGGTTTTATTTGCAGAAAGTTATCTTTAGACACATGCAGGGTTTCATTTCATAAATCCTTTGCAAAAGACATATATTCTCCATATATAAGAGTAATTCTGAAAAGGAGTTTGTCATAATTTTAAGTGTTGCTGAACCCTTTGTTTCCCACAACACATGGCCGTTAACCATTCATTTCTAAAATCACACACACGCTCATGTTTCCAATCATCCCAACCCATCTAGTTGTTGAAACCAAACCATAACCCGTCCAAGACCGCGGACACGGCTATCCGGATAAATTTTACACTATACAGAGGTTGTACAGTTTCACCACAAGTAGGATACCATAACTTGACACCATCGTGCAAGTACAGATCCATCAGAGCCATTACCCTCCATAGCTGGGTACTGGCGCTTACCACGGGCACATTAAGGCAACATCTCATAATATAATAATTTACAGAGCTCATTACATTTCATACAATTCCTCAGTTTTCATCTCTTAGTGTCCTGTTGCACACCTGCCTCCAGGTGATTGCCATACCAACTAGGGGGGTTTAGATTAAGCCTTGCCACATACGAGGTCGAGTGGTTGTACGATAAAATGAGTTAGGCGAGATGAATCATCAACTCAGTCCTTAATCGAGACAAGACGGATATCTTCACGTTTAACCACAAAAGGTACAAGCCACAACACCACGGCATTCCACAAAAGGGATCCGATCCGCTCCATCTCTAGGGTAATCACCATCTATAACTTGTTCATTAACCCTTTCACAATGCCCACAACTTATCATCACCACTCACACAGTTTTCATTTAAAATCATTGCATTTGATAAATCATAGTGATGAGTATCCATGATGGGTACCAAGTCCTAAGCATTGCTAAATAATAATATTTCGTCATAGCATAATATTTATTCCTAGGTTCAAGCAAGACAATTATCGGATAATATCAATCCAAGGATGGTTATTTAAACGGGTTTTAGCTAAGCAGCTAAAATACCTCGTACGTATATCGTACATGCAATATTTAAAATGGCTTCTACGGGTTGTGTTTAAAAATGGGATCAACATGCATCAAAGGGGATTAGATTGGACTTGCCTCCGTCGACGTCCTCGGCAAACTCCTGCTGGTAGTTCGGGTCCTCAGTGTTGAACTCGTAGTACTCATCTCCGACGTCCTCGTTCTCCGGCTCGTTCACTCCGTCAGCTAAAACGCGCAAACAAGCAGACAGACAAACAAACACAATTAAATAATCATATATATTTAAATGAGCTCTAAAAATCATGAAATTTATCTAGGAGATAGATATTGATTTTAGATAAATTTAGGAACAAGAATCGAGTGAATCGGAGCTTGGATGGATAAGATATCGTATTTACAAGGTGGCTGTTAATTTAATTTCGAAAATAATTAAATAGGACATATATGAGTGGCTTCCGTGGTTACTTAGTTTTGGCTCTGGATGTCTCGAAGTACAGAGGCCATGGTGGGGTCCATTTGCTGCTGTAGCTGGAAAAGCAAAGTTGCAACTGAAATGTAGAAAGGATAGAGGCGTGTGTGCTTGAGAGAGAGCACAGCGCACAGGCGTCGAGCACCCGCCTTCGTCCGCCTTGGCCGGCTGCTCAGCTCACCAAGACAGCGATTCCGACCACCGTTATCAAATCCAAGGGCACAGGGAGATAGAGGGCAGTGAGGGGACTCAGGTTTGGGGCTTTGTAGGAGGCCAGGCAGGAGCTGTGCCACCGGCTCACCTCCTCTCCATAAATGGTGCTGCTGCTAGCGAGCGCTACCTGCAGAGCGAAGGACGATGGGCGGTGCGGCGTGTAGCGGAGCGGTGGCGCTGAGGCGACGGCCGCGTTGAAGGCGCGCCCGACGAGGCGGGCAAGGCCGGCGAGGACGGCCGCAGCCATGTGGGTGATGGATGCCTGTCCTCTTTGCGTGTTTGCGTGCGTGTGTACTAGCGGCGCCGTGTGCGTGCTGCCTTTGCTCCCGCTTATGGGTGCTCCTCGCATTGCAGATAGAGAAGGGAGAGGGAGACGGGAGGTGGGGCCTACGTCGTGCACGACGTGACAGCAGGGTGGGGCCCACAGCACAAGTGGCGAGGCGAGGTGGCGGGGTCAACATGTCGCGGTGGCGCACGAGCGGCTGCAGTCGGTGAGGGGGTCCGG